GCAAAATCTCCATTCCTTCTCCACTCCTGGGGAAGGATACTGCAAAATCTCCATTCCCACCCCACTCCTGGGGAAGGATATTGCAAAATTTCCATTCACTCCTCACTCCAAGGGAAGGATACTGCAAAAATCTCCATTCCCACCCCACTCCTGGGGAAGGATACTGCAAAATCTCCATTCCCACCCCACTCCTGGGGAAGGATATTGCAAAATTTCCATTCACTCCTCACTCCAAGGGAAGGATACTGCAAAAATCTCCATTCCCACCCCACTCCTGGGGAAGGATACTGCAAAATCTCCATTCCCACCCCACTCCTGGGGAAGGATACTGCAAAATCTCCATTCCCACCCCACTCCATGGGAAGGATACTGCAAAATCTCCATTCCCTCCCCACTCCTGGGGAAGAATACTGCAAAATCTCCATTCCCACCCCACTCCTGGGGAAGGATGCTGCAAAATCTCCATTTCCACCCCACTCCTGGGGAATAATACTGCAAAATCTCCATTCCCTCCCCAGTCAGGGGCCAGCCAGAAGTGGTATTTGCAAAAAAAAAAAAATGCCACCACCTTTTGTATCCCGTAGTGGCTGTCCTAATTAGCAGGACCAAAGTGGTGTGAAGAGTGTGAAGTTCTGTTATTCTGATTATTAGATCACAGGGTATGTTTCAACATGCCAGTGGGTCACAGCACCAATCCAACCTTGGTTGATCTAAAAATCTAAGTCGAATTATCCTTCCTTATTATCTGGATTGGGGGAGGGGGGAGGTCCACCTGCAAACCAGGATTAAAAATTGAATGAATCCAGAAGTGTCTAGAGGCACTGGATCTCATCCAAGAAGACAGAATTGCTAAATCACATTGGTATCTTGCCAAGAAAACAGCCTGGACGTCTCCACATGGTCACCAAGACTGAAGCACAATTGAAAGCAGCTTAACTCCTTTTATGTTTCTGCATGTGTCTGTGGTCTGTTGTTGCGTTTTTTTCTGTAAGGTGTTGATTTGTTCTTCAGTTCTTAAACACAGTAACTAAGGAAACCTACATTTATAGACAGCACTGGGTGATAAATGCTACTAATAAAAGCAAACCCTTCAAAATGCATTGTTTAAGATACTCCAAAGAGTTTTGCGAGGACAGAAGGACTAGTGCAAGGGAAGACAAAGGTTAGGAGAGGGATTAGTGGAGGACAATCTGTTTGAACTAGAAATGCCAGATGAAGGTTTCTCCATCTGGATCTTGCGACAATTATAATTACTAACCTTCTTCCCTGCGAACTAACAATTTATGGCTATTCTCCGAACATGGAAATTGTGAAAGATGGTGCTATAGATTTAGAACAGAGGTGGTATTCAGCAGGTTCTGACCAGTTCTGGAGAACCGGTAGTGGAAATTTTGCAGTATTATTCCCCAG